TCAAATTTTTTTCTGTTTAACAAACAATGTAGAAAAGTTGGGTACAGAGGTTCAAAGGGAAAATAATCTCTGAGATATGTATATTAATGACAACTAAATCTTAATTCACCCTTGATTGACACTAAAGAATTTAGTTTGGGGGAAAAAAATTAATAACAATCACAACAGTGACACACACACCTTCCTTTTCCCCCACCCCTGAAGCACTCCCCCACTCAGCCTCGCATGTGTTAAACTCCATCGCCCTCTGTGTGTGTGTCCGTGTCTTGTTTGTTGGGATCATAGAGTTGAATTACAATAATATCCAATATCCTAGAACATGCACTGTCATGGCCACCGCCCTTGTACTATATATTATACATTTCGCTGCCAAACGTGCTCTTAATGGGCATCCAAATGAAGGGCGAAACGTGTCTTGTTAAAGTCGATTGCGCGGGGTACTTTCCCTCTTTTCCTCTCATTTCACTCCAAATTGTGTTACACAGTGCTCACCATTGAGAACCAAAACTACGTCAGAGTGCAGGCTCTAGGATATCATAATATAAGTCTATGGTTGGGGAACGCTCTTGGTGTAGGTCGAGCTCTTTCCGCAACACATAAAATTCTCCTACAAGCTGATCTCCAATGTGCTTGATGACCCCTGTGAGGACTGGCCTCCTGCACGTTTCAAGTCACGCTGTACCCCATATGTGTCACGACAGGGTGGAATCAGGCGTTCGTAAATTTTTGGGCATGCAGAGTTATTGGTATCATTTTAAAGTTTGTTCATTTGTATAGCTTTCGAGAGAAAAAAAATACGGATCTATCTTGAATTGGAAGTCGAGGTATTCCTAATTTAAGAAGGTGCGGTTGCCAGAAACATTGGTGACTTTCATAACTCGAGAATCCTTGAAATCTGGAAATGTATATGATCAACATTTTTCAGTAATATAAACGGAGAAATATGTTTTAAATGGACATAAAAGGTGCTGAACCCCCCCCCCCAAAAAAAAAAAATCGTTTAAAAATTGCCAAACTGGCGGGAAAATGTCGATTCCTTCTATTTCTTTATTTCGACAAGCGCTTGTTGTCACGACGATGCTTCACATATAGATCGAAATCATTTCAAAAGAGGAGCACTTGGCTTAATAGTAGTTCTCCCGTCAGGGAACTGGTCCAAGAGGGGAAATATTCCTAGCCGAAAGAGTGCACTCAGAATCGAACCCCGGCCTTCAAAGGCCAGATTCGCAATCAACTGCGTCACAGCGACTGGCCTAAGGTTTTGATAATGAATCATTGGTAAACGATTTTTTAAGCGGTTGAGATCGAAGTACAATGTATTCTAGAGGCCAGATCTATTCAAAGGCGGGTTTTTTTTAATTGTTTGAAATTGTTTGTGTTCTTGAGCAGATAAGAGGAAACAATGAGAAAGGTTTTGGTTGAATACTGCTACCTGTCAAGCTTCTCGATGACACGATGGATCAGCAGTCATGGCCTACAGCGATTCCAAAACTGGAACGCAAAACGCTTCATTGGACACACCAAATTATAACTTGGGAACACACCCTGAGACAAGGATTCGGCGAGGTCAAGGGCGACAGGTACTAGATCTATTGTCTTACTATTACTATTAGTATTCGTATCTGACTTTAGCTTGATAATTTTGAATTAGCTCAGTTAGAAGCGCTGTACGCCTAAAGTAAGTCCTCTTGAAAGCAGAATATAACCCCACCATATTTTTCATTTGAACTGACCCCCCCCCCCCCCCCTCA